GTAGTAAAATGATGTCCTTCATGTAAAAGGGCAAAATCAAGGTTTATATATATATATATATATGTATGTATGTATATATATTTGGTGCATTTATTGACCGCCGCTCTCAGCCCTAGGGCGACTCGCGGCGGTGAACAACATATAAAAAACAGTTTACAAAAAAGCAAAGCAAGAAAATCAYACAACAATAATACACAATACTGTAAGTTACACTAACTAATCCGCTCYGTCATATCATAGAATCATACCCAAAATCGTAGTCCATGTTCCGTTCCAGATGTCAATTACCAGTTGCCGTAGTATTCATTTGAATGCCTTCTCGAATAGCCAGGTCTTTAAGCTCCTGCGGAAGGATAGAAGGGAGGGCGCCTGTCTGATGTCAACATATATATATATATATATATGTTCAAGCCATGGAATATGGAGGGCCAATTATATTCCCATTTAAACTTTACTATTAATTACTATATTATAAATAAAGCTGGGAGCTAAAATATGTATCAGATATTAATATAGAGGAAGTAATTTGTCTTGTGTGTACACGGGGAAGGGACATCCTTCTACCAAAGTCCCTATAACTATAAACAGCTATTTCAGTTGTGTTAAAGGGCAACACCCTGTTAAATAGGATGGGCACATGAAGCAGAGGGTAAGGCTCCTATAACTTTTAGTTGTATAGAACCTACATTTTCCTGCCTCTCATTCCAGCATTAAGACTCTGTGTGTGATGTGCTCTTCTACACTAACACTTAGTTGCCTGGAGCACAAGCATTTTCAGGATCATGGTGTCAGTGTAGCAGGCATTCTTATCCTAAACACACTCATTTAGAACACAGTCTTATTAACCCTAATGAGATTTGCTTCTAAGGAGGACAGTCATAGAGTCAGCTTGTGAGTATATATGTTAGGAAGCAAACTCAGTAGATCTTGATTCTGGGGAAACAGAGTTAAATTAAGATTAATAACAATGAATATGGAAATATGAAGGCAATTTAAGAAAACCTTCCTTGGTTTCTATCTAGTGCTATCAATTGAAGGACGGAGCTGGCTGCAGCCCATTAGGTTTTTCAGGATTTCTCATTAGTTTTACCCTTGATCATTATGTCTTCCTCTCCTGAATAAATGACTTGAGTTTAAGGGCCCTTCCACACAGCCATATAACCCAGAATATTAAGGCAGAATCACCCACAATATCTGCTTTGAACTGGGTTATCTGAGTTCACACTGCCATATATCCCAATTCAAATCAGATGATGTGGCATTTTATTCAGATGTGTGGAAGGGGCCTAAGGGGCATAACATGGTGGTTCCAGTTCATCCTTAATATTATTTTCTTTAATAGCGATAGTAAATTCATTTGGAAGGCTCATCCAGATGTTTGCCCTCCAGTGTCATCTGCATGTAAGCTGTTTCTATCGCTTTTCTCTCCTCCAAATAATGCAAAGGAATAGAAGTATTCAGCAAATGTTTTCCAAACTTCAAATGCTTTGCGCTTAAACTCCCTGAAGACCCAACCAGCTTGGCTAATGGTCAGGAATTCTGGAGAACAAAAGTTTGGTAACCACTAGTTTAGATGAAAGAAAGAAAGACTCATATCTCTGGTTTGGTAGCACAAGGTTTAGCTCACAATGTGGAATGCTCCTCTGCATCTGCCATAGACTTTTCAAAATTTTCTGCTATCTGCACTGGCTACTGGCATGCTTCTAGACCAATTCCATGTTACGGCGTTACCACTTAAAGGTCTAAATGGCTTGATATATATTACCCTCATTTAGATCGACTATCCCTTATCTAAAATGCTTAGGTCCAGAAATGTTCCATATTTTGGAATTTTTTTGGGAGGATGGGTGGATTTTTGAATACTTACATATACATAATGAGATATCTTGGAGATGGGATCATGTTTAAACATGAAATTCATTTATGTTTCATATACACCTTTATACACCTAGCCTGAAAGTAATGTTACACACAGTATTTTTTTTTTATGCATGAAACAAAGTTTGTTGCATTGAATCATTAGAAAGCAAAGGATTCACTTTCTCTGCTACTCATATGAATGATTTTGGAATATTTTGGAATTTGGGATGAGGGATGCTTGACCTGTACCATGACGAATCTTCTTGAACGTTAAACTCTACTCCTGTAGTCCTCACATTTCTGTTAAAATTAAGTTGGTGCATGCAGAAGGTGCATCCAGCCCCCAAATTTGTATTTCCTTCCTAATTACATGCAAGTCTGCCTCTTTCCCACATATGTTCAGGTGAGCCTTGAACATCTTATTCTTTTATTGAGATTAAAATTAATTCATTAATTTTAAATATTAAATTAAGTATCTCTTTGCAGCATGCTTCTGCATTCTGTGTGGAATCAAAATGATTTAAAGCCGTAAAATTGTTGAATGATTGATGTTTCAAACCACAACACAACAGATTGTTAATTTTGTTAAAGAGAGCATCCTAACAGAATACAATAGCATTGTATACCAGTCATGAGGAGCAGGTGTGCACAGAGGTAAGGAAGCATTTCAGAATTCCATCTTTGAATGGTTTTCTGTACTATTGACCAACTATATCCTGAAATGCCTTGGTAGTCCATAGCATTTGTTTTTGGAGTCTGTGGAACTTCAATTCCTTTTATTTATTTAGTTGGGACAAACAAATAGAGTATAACATAACCACTTTTCCTCATGAGGAAGTTTAGAAGATAACACAGGAGACTTACGGAACATATATTTTAGCAATTTAACTAAAAAGAGATTTTAAAAATCATAGATAATCGCCCTTGTCTCTACTTGTTTCCATTCCTTTTCCACTGTTTTCCCCCTCTCCATCTCCCGTTCACCTCCCTCTCTCTCCGGGAACAGCCATACATTTCCTTTATCATTCATTCTGTTTGTTGGATTGTAAGGATAGTCTGGTTTAATTTCTTATGTTTTCTGTTGCCCTTAGCCTTGGCTATCAGTTATCCCCATTTCCCTTTCCATTTCCCCCTGGGGTATCCATTGGTATATTTATTTTTCCTATCCATGATGTAATCTTGAAGCATATAGCCTGCTAAATATTCATACCATTTTTGTATTTCCCATTTTTATGTTCTTTCCAATGCAGGGCGACCATGGCTTAGGCCACAGCTAACATATATTTAGTCTTCTTGCTTTAGTCTTTATTGCCCCTTTTCTCCTCATTTCAGGTAAAAAAGCGTTTATCATTCCACTCTTATTTTTTGCTCTAATAATTCCTCCATTTTCCCCTTTATTCTTCTATAGAATTTGTGTACCTTGGCACAGTCCCACCACATAAGGATAAATTTCCAGTTTCCCCACATTCCTGCCAACAGATTTTAGATGTCCTTTTTGTAATATGGCTATTTGCCAGAAAGGGGTTCTATACCATTTTGTCAGTATTTTCCTCTGTATTTCTTTGATTTTTAAATGTTTAAGATATTTTAATTGAATTTACCCACAGTTCTAAGTTCTTCTGGTAATTTATTTATATCTCGTTTTTCTCCCATGGGTGGGATTCAAAGTGGTGTACAATGGTTGAACGACCAAATTACATAACATAAAAAAACACAAAACATCATATAAACAAAATTAAACAGAAATACACACTACATAACCAGATAAAGGTTTCCCCTTGACATTAAGGTAGTAAGTCTAGTTATGTAAATTAAAAATTTGTTCTAGGGTCCTAAAAGCTCCATATCCTTTTGGTTGTGTAAAAAAATACCGGTCCGAAATAACAATTCCAAAGATATACCATTACCCCTATGTTTCTGGCCATTGTCTATTGTTGTTCTTCGGGAAAGGTCTGGTACCATAAAAAGGCTTTAACTTGAGAGTGAAAGGCCAGCAAGGAGAAGATTACAGATTATTTCTTCATTCCATACTTCAAACAGGTATGAAACTTCAGTTCCTGGATCTCCTGGCTGTTGCTTTTGGAACTGAAACTGTAAACACCTGAGAGCCCAAAGACTGAGATGCAGATATTCAACTGGTGTGTCTACACATGCAAGAAGGAATAATTAATTGGGTTGTTGTAGGTTTTTTCGGGCTGTATGGCCATGGTCTAGAGGCATTCTCTCCTGATGTTTTGCCTGCATCTATGGCAAGCATCCTCAGAGGTAGTGAGGTCTGTTGGAACTTTAGATTTGTCTATACTGCAGAAGGAGGAGGAGGAGGAAGAGAAAAAGAATATTTCTGTACCGCATTAGCCCCAAATTCAAGTGATGCCTGTTCCTTTGTGCAAAAATAAACCCATCATTGAAAATGTGCCTGGCTTCGAAGTCCCTTCCTTGAAAATTTCAGCACAGAAAGTCACCCCTGGAACTCACTGATTTTTCCTCAAATAATGTATAGGAATGGCCACAGGCAGGCCCGTTGCCAGGATTTTGATTCGGGGGGGGGGGGGCTGAGTCTGAGTGAAAGAGGGTCTACCCTAGCAAACCTTTTGTATCGTTACCCCAATACCCCCATGCATATGGGATATATTGAGTATGGTGATCAGATCATGATATGAATAAACATAACAGTTTAAATAATGTACCAGTAAGGCCTTTTCGCAGACCACCATGAGAATTTGGGGGGGGGGGGCTGAAGCCCCCAAAGCCCCCCCCCCCCCCCGCCCGCTACATGCCTGGCCACAGGAAAGCCTGCAAATTAAGGACATGGTGGTGAAGTTGGGATGTATTTATGCGTATAGACCAGACTTGGGCAAACTTTGGCCTTCCCTCCAGGTGTTTTGACTTCAATTCCCACAATTCCTAACAGCCTGTGGCATGTGCAAACTTTGGCCCTCCCTCCAGGTGTTTTGGGTTTCAACTCTGTTAGGAATTGTGGAAGTTGAAGTCCAAAACTACTGGAGGGAGTGCCGAAGTTTGCCCATGCTTGGTCTATTGATATACACACACCAGTTACCTATATAGACAGAGGAGTATTGGCTCCCCTTCCTACTGTCCCTTTAAACCTCAAACGGGGAGGGGGGGGCCCTCCGCGAGGGAGTGAGGCAACTTCCGAGCGGCGCTCCAGCCAAAAGGGCAAAGCCTCCGGCGCCGAGAGGGAGGCTGCTTTTGCCGGGAGAAGGAAACATGCCCAGGAGACTCAGGGGGAGGCGCGCTCCTTCGGGCTGAACGTCTGCTGAGACCTCGGGTTGGGGAAAAGAGAGAAGGAAGGAAGGAGGAGAAGGAGAAGCTGCCTCCGAAGCCCCTCGGCCCGCCGCTCCTGCGATGGGGAGCCACGAAGCGGCCACTTTGGAGCCCAGCGAGTTCCCCCCAGGTGGGTTGGGTTGGGTTGGAGAGGCGCTCCGCTTGGGCTTGGCTAGCTTTCGCCCCTTGTTGCCCCCATCTCTGTCTGGGCTGGGTATCCCTGGGCTGAAACGCTTGGGACCAGAAGGGTGTTACATAACTTTGGGGATGGGGCCCAACAAGTCAACACAATGCTCACTGATGCCTGTAGGCAGTAATTGCATACTAGAGAGTGTGTATGCAATCTTCTATATAGATAAAAATGTAATGTTCGTTTGTGGGATTAACATAACTCAAAAACCACTGGACGAATTGGCACCAAATTTGGACACAAGACACCTATCAGGCCAACGAGTGACCATCACTCATAAAAACACTGAAAAACACAGCAGAAGTGACTTAAAAAGCCAAAATACAAAAAAAAAAACATTACAACGCATGCACAAAACCACATATATATGCAAACACACATATACACACACACACATATACACACAAAACACATTACAGACTGGGCCATAGCAATGTGTGGCAGGGGACGGCTATATATATATATATATATATATATATATATATATATATATATAATTATTAGAAAAATAATTTGATACATGGAATAAAGTATGTTTGCATTGACCAGAAAGCAATCTCAGCCACTCATTGGAGTGATTTCGGAATAGTTCAGAATTCCCAATAAGGGACATACAGCCTGTATGCATGTCTATATATACATTACATATGTGTGTCAAGGGATGAGCTCATTGGAGTTTACTCCCAGGTGCAGCAGGCTTGCAACCTATCTATACAGAAGACCAGGCAAGGGAAACTTTGGCACTCCAGGAGTTTTGGACTCCAACTCCCACAATTCCTAACAGCCTACCAGCCAGGGGCAGCTCAACCCATTACACAAAGTAATCATTTGCAGTATGGTTGATTTTGCCCAGGGGCGCTCTTGAGGCGCTATTGGGGGAAAATAGACCTTGACATATGTGAGTTGTAGTTACTGGGATGTATAGTTCACCTACAATAAAAGAGCATTCTTAACTCCACCAACGATGGAATTGAACCAAATATGGCACACAGAACTCCCACGACGAACAGAAAATATATATCAGTGATTGGTTTGGGGGGAGGGGAGTGTGCCAAAATACTGTTTGCTTACCATTGAAAATTACCTAGGGCCGCCTCTGCTACTGGCTGTTAGGAATTGTGGGAGTTGGAGTCTAAAACCCCTGAAGGGCCAAAGTTGTGTTTACCGGAACTCAACCCCACCAGCCAAAACTGTATTAAAACTGCATGCTACACAAAGCTGTTTTTATAATGCGGTAAAACTGTATTACATGAAGTTTGTCTTCATGTGTTTTTAATTATTGTATTTCAATATGAATATCTAGTCAATAGGGGCCCCTGGCAGCACAGCGAGTTAAACCACTGAGCTGCTGAACTTACTGACCAAAAGGTTGGCAGTTCGAATTCTGGTTGCGGGGTGAGCTCCCGCTGTTATGCCCAGTTTCTACCAACAGTTCAAAAACCTAGAAGTGTGAATAGATCAGTAGGTACCACTTCAGCGGGAAGGTAACAGCACTCCATGCAGTCATGCTGCCCACATCACCTTGGAGTTGTCTATGGACAACGCCGACTCTTCGGTTTAGAAAAGATGAGCACCACCCCCCAGAGTTGGACACTACTTGACTTAATGTCAAGGGGAAACCTTTATTTTAGTGGTTCTCAACCTGGAATCATAGAGTTGGAATAGACCTCAAGTGTTATCCAATCCAACCCCCTGCCAAGAAGCAGGAAAATCACATTCAAAGCACCCCCCCCCCCCGGACAGGTGACCATCCTGTGGGTCCCCAGGTGTTTTGGCCTGCAACTCCCAGAAATCCCAGGTAGTTTATCAGCTTTTAGTATTTTTCGAAATTCAAGACCAAAACATCTGGGGACCCACAGGTTGAGGACCACTGCTTTACCTTTACCTAGCAAGTCAATCCAGAGGTTATGGTATGGTGTATTGTGGAGTGTAGTATTAGTCCTACTTTTAATAGTAACTTTCATACAACCAGAAACTATGTTTATCCAACATTTATCAATCCCCATGGGTGCCGGTTCATTAAGAGACGTCGTACATCCACACACACAAATATACACAAACACACACTAAGCAATGCACACACTTATTGTGCCGTCACTGTACAGGGTGCTTTACAAGGAAAAGCACAACAAAACATTTTCCCTGCTCTCTCAGGCTTACAATCTAAAGAGTTCAGTTTGGAGGCAGAATTCTCTGGCGTTCCTTTTATTTATAGAGTCGACTATGGTCAAAACTGACTCCGTGCCAATTAATCGCAATTCCAGAATAACTTCCTATCCCCGCTCACTACAGCCCTTATCTGTGATCCTGAAAAGCAAGCAGGCCGAGTCAAGGAATTGCTCACTGGGGTTTACTCCCAGGTGTTGATGGCTATATTTCAGAAGGAGGAACTGGCCAAACCACTTTTCAGTCCTCCTTGCTTAAGACAACATAAGATATTCAAAAGCCGTGCAATGACGCACACAGAGAATTCAAGGACCAGTCCCTTTATGCCACGGATTATGTTTCACCGGTGTAATGAAGTTAAGGAAACTACTTGTGGAATGGGGTGGCTGCAATCTCTCATTTCTTTCTGTCTTAGAAAGTAAATGAGTTTTGAACTGACAGCGTGGTCTGGTCATAGTTGACTTTTTGGACTATATCTCTTGTTGCCAGTCTTCCAATCCCCACATAACCACAGAAACCCACTGGTCCTGGGCCAGTCACACATGCTCAGCCTCAGAGAAAGGCAAAAGGCCATGTGAACAAACCTTGCCCAGAAATCCCTGTGATAGGTTCACTTTAGGGTTGTGATTAGTCAACTTGAAGGCACATGGCGGCAAGCTATGCAGGGTCAACCCTGGTTAGAACTGTGGGTGGAAGACTGCCAAGGAATGCAGGTCTTGCAGCTGTGTTTCAGAGGAATGTGCATTCAGGAGGCGGAACGTGTGGATGAGGCTAAGGGAATTCCTCCTGCTTTGGCAATACTCAGTAGCAGAAGATGGTCTGAAAATGCCATGCATGTGTCATCTATACTATAGATAAATGCAAATTCTATTGGGAATGTCTACCACTGCTGGGCACCTTTTGCCACCTGCTAAGCCACAGAAACATGATTTTTCCCTTCCTAGTTTGCTGTTTTATTTTAAGGGTCTTGTAATCTTTAGGTTCTCATTTACCCAGATTGCCCTTCTGGGTATTTCCAAGATTAGATGTCACAGCCCCCTTCTGTCACAATGACCCGCTCACTGACCTCAAGTTTTAGCCCTACAATATTAGAATCTAGATATAACAATAATTATTATTCTGCCCTATCTCCCCCGAGGATCCAGATATGGTGGATCTAGTTGCCTGCTTGAAAATTAGGGCTTATGAATGGAAATGCTACTAAAGATGATCACATTTGCATTCACTCTTCCTGTTCGGTTTAAAAACAGCCACTGTTAACAGCAGTCCTCAGTCAGGAAACTAATGCTTAGTGCTTTCGAAGAAATCTCCATATAGTTGAATTCTAAAAGCCAGGAGAACTCAAGGGTGCAGATCCATATCAGCATGTTCCTAATTGAATTGAACCACCTAACAGTTTCTTAATCGAATCAGTATATGATTACGTTGCATGCTTTACAATTTCTTATCTTTGTCAATGTAAACAATCTTATATAAAACTGCAAATCCAAAGTTCAATATTTTCCATATGTTGGCTTATTCATTAATTGGAATGGATATTAGGATTTGAAAGAGTATTTGTGAAGGAACTAGACAAGATCCTGAAGTGTCAAGATACATCATTAAATACCAAAGTTTGAATTATCCATGACATCATATTTCCTATTACTCCATATGGTTGTGAAAATTGAGAGGGAAGATAATCAACTAATTTGAAATATGGTGCTACAGACTGCTAACAGCAAAAATAAATGCTTCGTATAGCAAATCAAGTTTCAATCCTCTGCAAGCCAGGATTACTAAACTGAGGTTGTTATACTTTGACCATATCACAAGAAGATATGTCTCACTTGTAGAGACAATGATGCCTGGTTAGGTAGAAGGCAGTAAGGAAAGGATAAACTCAGTCAAGGAAGCCAAGCTGCCTGGAGTCTGCAAGGTACCAGGAGGACTGTTGATGATAGGGTGACTTGGAGGTCTCCCATTCATGGGGTTGCCATAAAACAAGGTTGACTTCGTAGCAATGAATGACAACAAAAAACCAAAGTGCTTAGTCCCAGTTTGTGGGTAGACCTGGGACATGGCTATAGCTGTTAACATTTTTTAATCTGTTTCTGCATTTCTTTTCTTTCAACTTAGCAATCTAAACTTGTAATAGTGTTAGTTTTACTTTTAATATTGGAATATGCTTAGCTTCTTATGTTATAAGATGTTTTTTCCCCTCTTAAGACAATGACAGACCACAAGTTGCCTTTGATGAATCCAGACGGCTCAGCAAAGAACAGATGTTTATATTGATAGCAACAGCAAGTGTCAACTTCAGTTCAATGATCTGCTATTCAATCCTGGGGCCCTTTTTTCCAAAAGAGGTAAATAAATATACAACAGTTGAAAAGAATTCTGTTGCAAAATTGCTTAATGGTACATCCCTCCCTAGGGAGCCCCTGGTGGCGCAGCAAGTTGAACCTCTTAGCTGCTGAACTTGCTGACCGAAAGGTTGGTGGTTCAAATCCGGGAGTGGGGTAAGTTCCCGTTCTTAGCCTCAGCTTCTGCCAATCTAGCAGTTTGAAAACATTGAAATATGAGTAAATCAATAGGTACCACTTCAGCGGGGAGGTAATGGTGCTCCATGCAGTCATGCTGGCCACATGACCTTGGAGGCATCTACAGACAACCCTGCTATTCGGCTTAGAAATGGAGATGAGCACTCCCCCCCCCCCAGTCAGACACGACTAGACTTATTGTCAAGTGAAAACCTTTGCCTCCCTAAGGGCATCCCTCCCTGTTGTCCTTCAGAAAACAAGCAAAAACCTTTCTCTGGAAGGAAGCCTTTGGGAAAGACAATTGATGGACTTCGTTAAATGGCAGTGTACTTTGACTATGTCAATGTGATGGAGCTGGTTTTAAATATTATTGATTTTTAATACTCTTTATCATCTATTCTTGCTTTAATTTTTGTATATGTGATGTTTTGTATTTTGAGTTTATACTGTCATATGCCTGAGAGGCATTGAATTGTTGCCGATTGTTAGCTGCTCTGAGTCCCTCAATTAGGGGGACGGGATATAAAACTAAGTAAATAAAATTAAATAAAATGCATGAGTATATGTTTCACCCTTTACTGTATTTTGGGTGTGAAGAAATCTATTTCTCAACATATGATGTTGCTGGGAAATTGCAATTTTTGTTGTGCCCTACAGCAGTGCTTCTTTTGCAACTATAAGTGCAATGCAGATTGAAATGGTACAGCTGACGGTACATAGTGTTACAACATTTGCAAAAAACATCTAACTAGTGATAGAGCTTTGTCATGGAAAAGTACAAAAAAGTCAGTGATAAACCAAACTCTATCTGGAATTTAATTCTTTTTGAGGTTTAACCTACCTTTTAACAACTTTGGACATTCCCCATTGTTATTGCTTCAGAACAGAGATAGGCTGTTTGGTAGTGTTAGATTCCAACTCCCATCAGTTTCAGCTAGTATGTTCAGAAATAAATGAAGTTTGCAATCCAAAGGACACCAGTGTTTCAAAGTATTTCAATGTGTTCTTCTCTCTCTCCCTTTATTTTGGTAAATAATCCCAATGGTTTTCATAATAATACAGGGAAACAGATCACAAATATTGTGCATAAGTCATCAAAGAAAACCAACCACAGAAAAATATTCCACTGGGGAAAATTATGTATTGTAAATAATGTGGAGAATATATATTGATATGTGTTTAGGAGTGTAAGGAGGAAATACCCAAATTGTGATATAAAATTTCCTAGAAGGCCTGAATCTGGTCTTTTATGTAAAAAACAAACAAACAAACAAAAACCCCAAGTACCTGGCATTGTCTTTTTCATTTGACCAAAAGAGCTGGGAGATCTAGAACACTTTCAAAGTTACATACAATAATATTTTCCCATTTTCTGATATTTTCACATATGAGAGCATCCAACCAAGTGCACCTCTGTGTGTACCAAGGGTAGAGATAGGGTCTGTAATTCATGTATATATATTATATGGGACAGTCATGAAATGTGTGGCTTTCCCCTCTTTCATGTGTATTTGTAAAAGCTGGAGAAAGCTACATTTTTGAAGTACCATGCTGGCTGGGGGACTTCAGGATCTCTGGTCCCCAAAATTAAATTTTCCCAGCTCTGGTGCCTGGTAGAATGTGAGATGATAAAGAGGTTCTTATTAAGAAACTTCTTTTTTCTCTTTTTCCCACATTCTCAAGTTTATACAGAAAACCCAAGAGGTCTTCAAAACATGGTTTGCGACAGTTGTTGAGCAGCATATAACTGGTGCTGTAGTGTTTTTGTGGTCTTGGGCTTCACTGTTCATTGTCTGATAAAGGAGACCTAAATTAGAATTTCAAGGAAGACATACACACACTGAAATTTAAATCAGGCAATTATTTCCTGCAGGTGCTCATGTTCTGATCCTTTTTGTGTATGTTTTTTTTAGGCAGAAAAGAAAGGTGCTAACAGTACAATAGTTGGATTCATTTTTGGATGCTTTGCTTTATTCAACTTCCTGGCGTCTTTGATCATGGGAAAGTATGTAAGTATCTTTGCCAGAATTTCTATATAGCAATGTTGTATAACGCAGAAAGGTGAAACTAAAGTTTTGTTGCAGCATCTTAACTTCTTGCCCACTCACCTCATTAAGGTCTTGACTCTAGTACTGTAATGATAAAACCCCATAATGTCGTAATTTCACCTAGCTTTTAGCTGGGCCGGATTTATTGCAATCAAATCAGCCATGCTACAGAGTAGATTCAAAGGGACTAAATATAAACATAGAGTATGCCCTTGTGGGGAGGGAAAAGTTGAAACTATCACGCATGTGCTTTTTATCTGCACAATCTACAAAGATAATAGACTGAGGTTAACATCCCCTTCACTCACCAAGAGGCCGGGAAGAACTTTAAACTGGTACTTTAGTTATCTACTGTCTGATCTTGACAGAAGGGTGATGGAGCAGGTGGCCATATTTCTTCTTGCAGCAGCAAAAAACCACAAGTGCTTCATAAACAATGTGCAATTTGTAATAGCTGAGAATGAAACAAGGAGCACCTAAGCGACTTATTACTTAACTGTAATCACACCAAACCTAGAATATAAATATAGTCACTCAACTGGTAGAGAATGGAAATATTTATTAGCATTATATTATGAGCCAGATTCGATGTTATAAATTATTCAGATGCAGTATTTTGCTATTCTATCCTTATTTGACTTCAGCCAAATGTTTGTTGACCGAAATAAAGGCTACTGACTGACTGATAATAACTTATCACATTTCACAGAGCATGTTTTCCACTCGTATGAGGTAGCTACCAGAAATTGCTTCTATTGTATCTGTACCATATAGACTCCCTTCAGACAGCTCTTAGGTATTTAAATGTGTTTGTTGTTGGAGATAGAGCTGGGGAATTTTCTTTGTTTTTAAGACTGGAACAGAGTGATTGCACTGTAATCCAAATGTAGTAACCATTCATATCTGGCTGGATATGACTTGTCCTTTCTGATAATGAGCTTATGCACTGTATTTTTTGAATGCTAGTTTAAGAAGGAAAGACAGCATGTAAGTTTAATAAATAAGTTCAGTTGGAGAGTACTCTCAACAAATCTATGGGTAACCAAGGAAACACTGCCCTGTGACTTTTAGTTTTTCTAAGTCGCTTCAGCAGTATAAGTGCAACCTAACTTTATGTTTCTAAAATATATTGAGATTGATCAATACTGATGTGGGATTAAGTTTGTCTTAGTGAACACAGTTGAGCATTTCAGGGTATCCTCCCATTTTGTTGCCATATCACAAAACTAGGAGACAACATTTGTGAATTCTTCAGTGCTTTGAGATGGTTGTCCAAATGGCTGTTGTGATATGGATAGGTGTATTGCTATCAAATGTGGGGTCATTGATAGCAAAGAGTGCTGAAACAGTTAACTGCACCAGTTTCCTTGTCTTTGTAAAACTGGGTTAATTCACTTATCCATTTAGAATATTTTTAGGCGTGATAATAAGCTGGAGGTAAGCCAGTGGGGTGAGGTGGGGATTAGCTACATCACCTGTCCCCCTTTTTTCTTTCCTGTAAACTGAATGAAAGACAGTGGACTTTTGTAGCATGCTTCTATAGAATGCTTCTCTTAAAGGACCTGAATGTTATGCAAGTGTAACGCTTGTCTTCTACAATTACAGCTTGTACAGATTGGAGCAAAGTTTATGTTTGTTACTGGAATGCTTGTTTCAGGAATTGTAACAATTCTCTTTGGGTAAGTATATATGTGTGTGTATATATAACTTTCAAACACTGTGTCTTAAAAGCCTCCATTGTTTTATATGTTTTGTTCTTAGCAAATTATGGCTTTGAATTAAAATTATTGTTACTCAACTTTTTACTCTGTTTGGGATATCTAGAGGCTGCTGGAATACTCTGGGGTGTTTCCAGGCCAAGCATGACTAATGTTGTTATTCAAAATGGCCTTTAAACCTATTTCATCTTTTTTCTTTCTAAATGTAATTTTTCTGATAAGAAATATGACGGAAGAAGCTGTGAGAAAATGAAGGCAAGGGTCACAAGTGAAAGAAGGTGTCATTTGAACAGCCTGTAAAACTTCATTTTTGAGGCTGTAGAAATTGCAAAATCTGTGGCAGGAAGCACTAAAACTATTACTGTCATTGTAGACATGATGTATTTGGCAGGATGTAATAATAATTAGTGGACAGTAACTACTGATAGTACCTTTGTCAGTGGGAGTGGATTATGTTCTACTTTGAAATTTAAGGAGCTATCCAAGGTGCTGAATCTATTTTGTAGCAAGCTCTTCAAGATTTCAAACTGAAACACAAAGCAGATTCACTGCCCCACTACCACAGTTTTGATCACAGTTGAATCATGCAAATTTCTGTCTTAAACAGTGCAGAATATGACTTGAGCACAAATGAGTATAATATGACTTTGACTATCATATATATCAAGGCTTCTTAAACTTCTTACACAGGATCTAAGTATATAGTTACAGGACTCAAACATTGATAACAAATCATCATTTGTAAGGCTTGCTAAACAGGCTGATTTTTCTTTCTATGAAGTACAGCTGAGGTATCTTCTGCAGAGCCCACAGTAAACACTATGTTTGTAAATGTCAAAAACAGCCCACTAGATGACATTCAGAAAAAAAATGGGATCCAAGATTGGGCTAAGGATACCCCATTTGAGGTTGGGACTCACAGTTTAAGAAGCAGTGATCTATATGAATAGGAAACTAAAACATACTGCTTTCTGATTAATGTGATTGATAATTACACAGTTACACTAATTTAGAAAACCATTTTGGACAGCGAGAACAGTTACATAATTTCAGCTGGGAAAAGGAGCCCCCAGTGGCACCATGGGTTAAACCTTTGTGCCAGCAGGACTGCTGACTGAAAGGTTGGCAGTTTGAATCTGGGGAGAAGGGTGAGCTCTCATCTGTCAGCTCCAGTTTCTCATACGGGGACATGAGAGAAGCCTCCCACAGGATGGTAAAACATTCAGACGTCCCCTGGGCAATGTCCTTGTAGACGACCAATTCTCTCACACCAGAAGTGACTTGCAGCTTCTCAAGTCACTCCTGACACACACACACACAAAGCTGGGAAAAGGGTCTGCTACTACACAGTGGGTCCAAGAAATTAAATCCAAACATCTCTCCTTAAGAGAAGATAATCTTTGATACAGTTTAGAGCTCTTCATAATTGGATGGGGAGCACAGAGAAAATAACTGTTTCCACTTACCTTTGATTCTTTTGCTGTCCATCATCAATATTCAGCTCCTTGGCAGAATGTGGCTGTTTTTTAAAAAAATATCATTGCATTTACATCAAATCCTTCCAACAAAGGTTCAAAGTAGATTCTTCTTGCAGTAGATTAGGGTGATGGATAGTAGTAACTGGCATCAAATAACTTAAAGAGTTTCTTAATCAAGTGAAAGTTTGACCTTGCATGTCCCTTACCCTAGTCTGACACTCAAACTACTACACAACACTGCTCTTTGACTGAGAGAATGGGTCTTCTTTTGTAATAGCACTGCTTGCATCAGATGATGTGAATTCTTCTTTCTGCAAAAAAGAATGGGGAGCTGAATCCATTTTCTTTTTAGGCTGTTGGATAAAGCCCCAGATGGGCCCATGTTCATAGGACTCTGTTTTTTGGTCCGAGCAGTGGATGCAATTGGTTTTGCTGCCTCGATTACTGCTTCATTTTCTATTATCGCAAAGGCATTCCCCAACAACATAGCTACAGTTATGGTATGTATGAAAACCTGTTACATGTAACATTTGTTAACTGGCATAATGGAGGCAGAAGTGCAGCGTAGGGGCAGATGGGCTAATAGCAACAAAGTGCAGCAACACTTCAGTATGATCATTGAGTTATGCTTCCAGTGGAGAATGCAATGATGTAAAATGATGATGTAAAAACTTTTTATGCAGTTTAACAAGTTATATGTTAAAGCAGTTTAAAACCATGTACATTTGTTAAGCCCTAAAATCTTCATAGCCACATTTTAGCTTGGTGATGGGATGCAGCATAGAATTGGAAGAGACTTCAAATTCCATCCAGTCAAACAACCTGCCATGCAGAAATATACAATCAAAGAGCTCTCTTTAACCCCCCCCCCCCCATAAAAAGATTTTATCAAACTCCAAGATTGCATATTCCACTCTCGAACAGCTCTTACTGTCAGGAAGCTCTTCTTACATTTTGTTGGACTCTCTTTTCCTGTAGATTCCATTTCCTAGTCTCTGGAGCAGCAGAAAATAAGCTTGTTCCATCTTTCACATGCAATTCTTTCAAATATTTAAACATAGCTATCATGCCACCACTTGACCTTCTCGTCTCCAGGCTAAACATACCCAGTTCTTTAAGCCACATCTCATAGCCACAAGCAGTACCTTCAATCAGATCATCAAAGGAAGAGCCTTCCTCAAATAAGGTGCCACATCCTAGAAAGTTGTTTTCCATGCCTCCCTGTAATGTGTCGTTACCGCAAACGGGGGAAAGAGAAAGGAAATAGAGGGCTGACCGCCAGAACTAATTAACACGGTGGGCAGTTCTGCTTTTCAAATTTAAACATTGCAACTCCTCACATGTTTTGTGAAGAAATACAATAACGCTCCAGAAAAATGTACTCCCAGTCCTAATTCCTTCCCCACCTAGTTTTCTACACTCTCAGTCTTGCCTCACAGTGGGGTGTAAATACCTGTGGAAAGAAAATAAACATGCAAGCCTTCAATTGTATTCTTTTTGTCACTCTATCTGCAAGGATTCTGTTATCAGTACTGGCAGCTGAACCTGGAGAATATATTCTTCCAATGTTTACTTTGACTCCTCATTTTTCCCAAGGGCCCTGATAGATAGCAGCCACAATAAATAGAAAGACTTCCACAGGAAGAGGGAACCAAATGGGGGGGGGGGGAGAGTAGGAGGGCCTGTTCATTTCCAGATCCCTGATAGGTAGGTTATTAGCTTTTCCCTTCTCTTTCCCCCATCATTTACCCGTTATAATCACCTTTCATATATAGCCAGATGGGATGTGTAATATTTGCAGGAGCGTTCCCTTTCCTGTGGACCTGGTAGTGTTAAGTGGAAGAATGGGGGTGACATGATTCCTTAAGAGGAGGGCACAGTCTCTGTTGCACTGGTTGCCAAGAAGAGGAGTATCTTCACTGTAGAATCAATGCAGTTTGATACCGCTTTCACTGCCCTGGAATTCTGTGCTGTAGGTATCTAGGAGCTAAAGTTTGGTGAGACACCAGCACTCTTAAGCAGGGAAGGCTACAGACCTTGAAAAATTACAACTATGATTCCATCACACTGAGTCTTGGCAGTTAAAGTGTCGTTAAACTATTCATTCTACAGTTTGTATGCAGCCAAGGAGGTGCACTTTGGATTTTCTGATCATGACAAAACATTGGCGTGGTGCAGTGTTTCTCAACCTGTGGGTCTCCAGATGTTTTGGCCTTCAGCTCCCAGAAATCCTAACAGCTGGTAAACTGGCTGGGATTTCTGGGAGTTGTAGGCCAAAACACCTGGGGACCCACAGGTTGAGAACCGCTGCCATAGTGTAAAAGTCCAGAAGGCAGGCAACCCATGTAAGAACAGAGAGGCCCCTTCACACCCTAATAGTTTGGCAGAATCACAAAAATGCTTCCAAGAAAGATTCGTATGGAGAGAATTGAACAGACATCAATTTTATGTCAAAAATAGTGTTACTAATGACATTTTAAAAGGCAGCATTGTTGCTTTTAACTGCTGACAGCGTCAAGTGAGTTTTGATCTGCATTAAACTAGTTTAAAAACTATTGAATCTTAATGGAGCATATATTTGTTTGAGCACATGGTGTTCTTTAATGGTTTCAGTACTTCATTTAATCTCATTTCCTTTGGCTTTTATGAAAAAGAAGCCATTGTAGTATTCTAGAATGTCAATAGAAAGAGTAACTTTGTAATCTTTACAAAGAAAGAAAGCATGCTAAATATTTATGATACCTGTTTCCTGAGATAAATCTCTTTTTTCCCTATAGAATAGGACTTATTTATTCCCATAGTATTTCATAGGGGTGTAATCAGATGAGTCCAGGACAAAATTGAGTTCATGTGGACAGATCTGAGAGGTGTCCAAATCAATTTAGGTGTTACTAGAGCAAGTTGAATCCATCCCTGTTAACTCAATAACAATTTGAGTTTGGAGGGACCAGGGAGCATTGCTTCAGAAATTGACTCATTTCTCCCCAAGCTCTCTTTAAGAGAAAAACACCAAGATGGGAACTGGGAGAGAAGAGGAGAAGGGTGCAATTATGCAACTGGCAGGTTTAGCTTATATAGTTAGCCCTCCACATTTGCTGTGATTACAGATACAGGATCCCAAGAAAGGCGGGCGGGGCAGGGGATGGGTGGGTATGAATTGCCTTGATTATGAATTGGCCTGAATCCCAGCTCTTGAACTGGTTTTTTATTCATTGCAACTTGCTAGCCACTGGATTTATCCTCCTGTATTTTTCAGGTTTCTTGCCAGGGGTGGTGGCATGGTATGACATGTGCTTCATTATTAATTGATTGGTTGGTTGGTTTTAAAAAGACATGAAATGCAAAAGGAAGAGGTAAATTAGTTCTCTGTCTCCATTTTTGTTAGAGAGTGAAAAAGATGTTCAAAACTGACCCCAAAACTGACCCTAAAACTGACCCACTGTAGTTTTATATATAGTGTTTTTAAAGTTGTTTTTGTAATTGTGATATATGATATTTTAATGAGTGTATATGTTTTTTATGGCTGGAAACCGGGCTGAGTCCCTCAATGAGGTTGAGAAGCTCGGTATAGAAAACTGTGAAATAAATAAATAAATAAATAAATAAATAAATATAACCAACCAGCCAAAGAGAGTCTGCTAATAACAATGAAGCATTGCTGTGTGCCTTCGATCCATTTCTGATTTATGGCAACCTTAAGGTTAACCAATTGCAGGGCTTTCTTGGCAGAGTTTGTTCAGATGGGTCTGCCTTTGCCTTCCTCTGAGACTGAGAGAGTGTGACTCCCCAAATGGTCATGGTTAAGCAAGAATTTGAACCTGAGGTTTTCAGTGTCCTAGTGAACACTCAAACCATTGCACCATAGTGGCTGTTTGGCAGTAAATGCTATAATAAAACTTTATTTGTATTCCATCCTATCGCCCCAGGGGGACCCAGAGTGGATTCCAACATTCAAAAAGGCAAACATTAAATGCCTCAATACAACAAACAAATATTAACTCATAATCATAATTTCCTGAAGTCCATACTTCAGGAAATAAAGCCCGACTGCTCATTGGAGGGAAGGATATTAGAGGCAAAGATGAAATATTTTGGCCACATAATGAGAAGATAGGAAAGCTTACTGGAGAAAATGGAAGGAAAAAGGAAGAGGGGCTGACCAAGGGCAAGATGGATGGATGGTATCCTTGAAGTGACTGGCTTGACTTTGAAAGAGCTGGGGGTGGTGACAGCCGACAGGGAGCTCTGGTGTGGGCTGGTCTATGAGGTCACAAAGAGTCAGCAGTGACTGAACGAATCAACAACAACAACAAAGAAAATCAGAACCTAACATCAATAACTTAAACAAAACATATTCAAATGAATTTATATAATGGCATAAAACCTAAACAATAAAACATCTGCAATTGATTTACAGAGAGCCAAGTTCGCAAAGGCTATGTATTTGTCACTAAAGAGGAAAAATAAGTAAGCAAAGCTCAACACTAATAACAAAATTCCCTCACACTAGAACAGCAAAGCATCCTTTTTGAAAACACTTACATAAGGTTTGCCTGACCTCTAGTATTTAAAAACATACTTTACTGTTTCATTAATTTGCAGCAGTTTTACGTAAATTGCTGAAGCTACAAAGGCTCAGCAAAAGCCAGCTTTAACAAAAGAGGCATACATAGATTTTATGACGTTTTTGATACATTTATAGCTTTAGTTTGAAAGCTTCCCTTCTTCCCCAACCTTTTCAGCTGTCTTCTTTAAATTTTGCAAATTCCTTCCTCAGTATTTCTTTGGTCAATTAGAGATCATTTAGAGATCACAAAAGTTCTAGCATCTATTCTTCTGAAATTTGTTAAGCTCTAACCCACTAAAAGAAAATCATCTTTCTCAATGTAGTTTAGTTTCCCCTCTCCAACTGAAATGTTGTTTGAAGGTTTAAAAAATACCCCTCTTAGAGGCAAAAATAGCCACAAACACCCCCTTTCCCCACCTCATCTCTTGTTTGAACAGGGCCAGATGTCTTCTTCTCCTATGCAGCTCCTATGCCATGCATTTTCATCTAATTCTGAAAAACAAATATGGGATTTGCGGGGAGGGGAGTACAGCCGGTTTGTTATTGTTCAGTGATTGTTGATGGGCGGCATGAAGGTTTGGATTTCTAAATTGAGAATTAGAAATAAATCAAACTGAGTAGCCCCCAAACCCTTTTGAGCTGAATAAGGCAATTTTCCCAATTGCCAAATCAGATTTTGTGGTTAAAGCAACTCCTAATGTGTTAGGGATAAGCAATTCTTTTCTCTTCCTTTTAGCCAATGGTTCTCAACCTATGGGTCCTCAGATGGTTCGGCCTTCAACTCCCAGAAATCCTAACAGCTGAGATTTCTGGGAGTTATCGGCCAAAACAGGTTGAGAACCACTGCATTAACCATTGCTTTTAACATAACAAATGTGCATTGGGCTGTGTATCCATGTTGACTTATTAGCACCCTCCCTGTGATCCAACCATACCATTGCCAAAGCTGTCTCAGGTCCTTGGTCTGATCTTTACCTTTGGTTTTCACCTGTAGTCTTGTGGCAGACCACCTGAATGCAAAAGGTTCTAGATTCAATCCCGTCCATCTCCACATAAATTGAGGAAAATCCTCTTCCTGAGACCCAGGAAAATATCTGACAGAATTATCATGCAATCTGATTGTGTTGTTACTCTTTCTTCCTTTTTAGGGCAGCCTTGAAATTTTTACTGGACTGGGGCTAGTATTGGGGCCCCCTATTGGTGGCTTTTTATACCAGTCATTTGGCTATGAAGTCCCTTTCATTGTACTTGGAAGCTTAGTTCTGCTTATGGTGCCTCTCAATATGTATCTCTTACCAAAGTACGGTAGGTGCTGTTTTTATTGCTTTTATGTGTCATCACCAAGAGGAGCAGCAAATATGCTTTTTCTTTGACCCTGTTCTTTTCCATATTTAAAAGTGTGAGACTACCATATATTTCGGCATATAAAACAACTGGGCATCTTTTCCACAACTTTTCCAGTTAAAATATAGAGTTTGGGATATACTCGCCCCTCTTCCAACACACACCAAATAAATTTTTTAAAAGCATCAGATTTGATTTCAGTATGGTAATTTTACTATTACTGTACCTCCTTCTCTGCCTTTAGAAGCCGGTTTGAGTCCCTCTACGGAGGTGAGAAGATCGGGATACAAAAGTTTTAAATAAATAAATAAATAGTAGGTTTTTAAAATGTAATGTTTCCAAGCTATTGATAGGTTTAATCCACAAACTCAGAAAGAAGTTATATGAAACAGTAATACTACATAGTTGTGTTTATGCCAATGGCCAATAGACCTCTGGTCTTGATCTGGATGTACTTTAATAGGTACTCCTGTGCATGCAATGCCATCAGCACAAGATATTTTGCCAACAAAGCCATAGGTAGCTGAATTTTACTTCTCCGTTAGGGATGAACCAGTATCCTGTGCTACAACTAAGGAGAATAAACTGAATCATAGGGCACTACATACATTTTTAATTCATTCTGATAGTGGTCTCTCTAACTTAGTATTGTCTCCACTGACTAAGAGAGGCTCACAAAATTCAGTCAGGAGTCTTTTTCAGCACTGCCTAGAAATGTCACTGCCTGAACCTGGAACTTTCTGTACACAAAGCCAGTTCCTTTTTACTGAACTACCGAGTCCTCCAAACTTTAGCACACAGAAACCCCTCTTTTCTAGCATCTCCCCATCCCTACTACTTCCTTCGACAGACTTAACTGCCTGGCAGCTGTATGTAGAGGACTACTGTCCTAAAAGGCATCTTGGCCACTCACGTCTCCTCAGAGTTTTGAAAGCAACTTCTGCTTTTAAACTATTTTTTAATGAGTCAGGAGCGAGAAAGTGGAATCTAAGCTGAGTGGGAAGCAAGGAAAAAGGCTCACTGGTATTGCCAGTAGCAATATCTTCCTTCATACATGGATTTGCTGTGGATTTTGTTTTCAGAGAAGTTTGAGGTTCATGAAGCCTGGATACCAACACAATACCATCTTCAGTCTGTTGAAAATGTCACAAAAGTGGCATCTTCATCCAGGTGTGTGTCCTCAGTCTTCTGTTTAGCCCTAGGTTAAATTTAATTTCTAATGTCAGTGACTTTTTGCTCTGTGAAACACCACATCTCCAACGGTATTACTATTTAATGCAAAAATTAGGATACCTTGTGTTTTATCTCATTGCAGATTCAACTCCTGGTAAAGATTCATTCTGGAAGCTTGTTATTATACCCAAAGTGATCCTCCTCTGTCTTACAATATTTTCATTAAGTGCATGCTTAGGTTTCCTAGATCCTACGATGTCCCTATTTGTCTTGAAAAAGGTACGTAATGTTGTGGATAAGTCTCTTTTGGAAACATGCTATCTATCTAAACCAGATGTTTATGGTGTAATTGTCAAGGAAGAATGGCAGTGGGATGCCATGACAGTCTGTTAACTTATCTAATGAATTATTATTATTATTATTATTATTGTTATTATTATTATCACTCACCTCTCCTCGTGGCTCAAAGTGGGGCACAACATATCTAAAAACACATCATTGTAAAACATTATATAAAATACATATATTAAAATACACAGAACAAAGATTAAAACAGGAAACACAAGATGTGAGTTTAAAATGCATAATTAAAATGTATTTGGCAGGCCTGTCAGAAGAGATAGGTTTTAAGTTGTGTTTTGTAATCCCAACAGCTCATTTAGCTGCTGGAGCAATACTGACTTATCTTCTTGGGGTGGCCAATGTAAAGGTCCTCTGGGTGATGGTCGCCTTAGTTGATGATCTTCGCCGGGAGCTAAACAGGGGGAGTGCGTCCCTGTTGGTTCTGCTGGACCTCTCATCGGCCTTTGATACTGTCGACCACGGTATCCTTCTGAGATGCCTCGCAAGAATGGGCCTTGGATTTACTGCCTTGCAGTGGCTCCAGTCCTTCCTCAATGGTCGTTCCCAGAAGGTGTTGTTAAGGGACTCTTGCTCGGCCCCACAGCCATTGTACTGTGGGGTCCCACAGGGTTCAGTACTGTCCCCTATGTTATTCAACATATACATGAAGCCATTGGGGGAGATCATCCGGAGTTTCAGGGTATGGTGTCATCTGTACACAGATGATGTCCAACTCTATCACTCCTTCCCACCTACTACTAAGGAGGCTGTTCAAGTCCTGAACTGATGCTTGGCCGCTGTAACGGACCGGATGAGGGCGAACAAATTGAAACTAAATCCAGACAAGACAGAGGTACTCCTGGTCAGTTGTAAGGCCAAACAAGGTATGGGGTTACAGCCTGTGCTTAACAGGGTTACACTCCCCCTGAAGGCGCAGGCTGGAACCCCAGGTCTTGGTGGTGGCCAGAGGAGCTTTTGCACAGTTAAAGCTTGTGTGCCAGCTGCACCCGTACCTTGGAAAGTCTGACTTGGCCATGGTGATCCATGCTCTGGTTACATATAGACAACTGCAATGCTCTCTATGTGGGATTGCCTCTGAAGACTGCCTGGAAGCTGCAATTAGTCCAGCGCTTGGCAGCCAGACTACTGATGGGAGTGGGGTACAGGTAGCGGATAGTTCCCTTGTTGCGCCAGCTCCATTGGCTGCCAACTAGCTTCCGAGCACAATTCAAAGCGCTGGTCTTAACCTACAAAACCCTTTATGGTTCCAGCCCAGTTTACCTGTCTGAACATATTCTCCCCTATGAATCATCAAGGCTTTTAAGATTTTCTGGTGGGGCCCTGCTCTCGGTCCTGCCACTTTAACTATTGCGTCTGGTGGGAACGAGGGACAGGGCCTTTTCTGTGGAGGTCCTTCAACTATGGAACTCTCTCCCGATTGAGATCAGATCTGCCCCCTCCCTCCTAACCTTCAGGAGGCTAGTGAAAACCTGGCTATGGAATGAAGCATTCCCAGAATAATGGCTGAGACTGGCTACAGACCAAGTTATCAACCACGTGGACTGAGTTGGATATAATTTTATTTTGGCGATTTGGCTTATATGTATTTTATTCTATTTGTATTTTAATCTTTTTTTTGTTGTAAGATGTTTTAGATCTGGGGTCCACAAACTTTTTAAACAGAGGACCAGGTCACAGTTCCTCAAACTTTTGGAGGACCAGATTATAATTTGAAAAAAGCATGAATGAATTCCTGTGCACACGGCACATATCTTATTTGTAGTGCAAAAATCACTTAAAAGCAATACAATAATTAAAATGAAGAACAATTTAACAAATATAAACTTATTAGTATCTCAATGGGAAGTGTGGGCCTGCTTTTGGCTCATGAGATAGGATTGTTGTCATTGTTGTTGTGTGCTTTCAAGTCGTTTCAGACTTAGGTAGACCCTGACCGAGGGCCGGGTAAATGACCTTGGAGGGCCGCATCCGGCCCTGGGCCTTAGTTTGAGGACCCCTGTTTTAGATTGTATTATTGCATTGAATCCTTGTTGTGAGCCAGTCTGAGTCCCTCTATGGAGGTAGAGAAGATTGGGATAGAAAAGTTTTAAATAAATAAATAAATAAAATAGCTGGTGTATCAGCTGAAACTGATAGTAGTAAGCACTCCTGACCATTGCATCTACCTGGGCTGAGATTTGGAGAGACGGATCCAGGATACTTCCAAGCTGTGAACACAGTCTTTCAGGGGGAGTGTAGCACCATCCAGAATTGGATGTTTTTCCTCATCCAGCCCATTACCTCCTCCAGGCAGTTGTCAGAAGAGACATGCTATCCTTAGCTGAGGCTGTTTTTGAAGGCATGGAGAAATATATTAGGGTATAATCAGCATGCTGATAGCACTCCATCCCATGTCTCTGTATAATTTCACCCAGTGTTTTCATATACATGTTTAAAAGCTTTTGGGATAGATTGCTCCTGGTGGGATGCTATATAACAGCTTGTTTAATTATGCTTGTTTGATAGTTGCTCCAGTGCCCGTAAATAGTTATATGACTATCAAGTGTGTGTCTGTATTTAGCCTGCACTAACATCTCAAACAATTTCTGTGCTTATTTCTGTTCCTTTTTACTTTTACTTGCTTATTATTTTTATAAATGAGACTTAATTCTATGTAATTTACAATACTCCTAAACTGTAGTGATAACAAATAATTTCATTCCAAATTCAAGGAATAGCACCAACACAAACAAAGCAGCTAATAAACATCATATCCTGTTTCAATTTCTTCTTTACTTTAAGACAGTTTTTTTTCCTGATCACTCAGAAAAAATACGTCTTTCACCTTTTGAGGCTTTATGGTGTTGGCAGTTTTGAACTGTTGTTCATTCAGTGTACACTTTAATGGCAATCAAGGCTGTTAATAGTAGTTTCAAAAGAAAATAAACAACTTAGAAGTATTAAAATACCATGAAATATGCACCAATAAAAGAACAAAAGTGTTCGACTCAGTCTTGTTTGTTCATACAGGCCTTCATTCATTGCTTCAATGCAGAAGGCTTGTATGAACAAACAGAACTTAACACATAAGCAAGCTTGTAAAGTATAATAATCTTTCAAGTAGTCTTATCTCAAGTCATTTCTGGTGGTATTATTCACTGTTGGCATATGTGAGATACCTTGTATATTACAAAGATTATAACTGAAGGAATTTTGTAACATAAGATATTTTTTGTAGAATAATTCAAATATTGCTTTTTTCTGTAGTTCAAACTGCCTGCTGGCTATGTTGGACTTGTCTTCTTGGGGTTGGCACTCTCCTATTCCTTATCCTCACCATTACTTGGTTTTCTTAGTGATAAAAAGCCGGTAAGTATATCTGCATCTGTTATTTTTTTTAAACAAATGTTTTATATTTTTGTCAGTTTTAATGTCTTGTTATAAATGTTTGAACTTTGATGGTTTGGTAGTAGGAATTCTTTTTATTGGACAAGAACACTAAATGTCATAAACCGAATATGGGTTTAAGGTCACATGTTTCTTTGGGGTGTTATTTTCAGCCCACATCTGCCTCCCACCACTGCCAATTACATAATAGCTGTGTTTTCATATAATTAAGAACTAATTATAATTGATAGCCATTAGTAATAGTAAATGCGAGGGCCAGTCTGGTGTACAGTTTAATCGTTTAACTCTGGAGATCATTGGACTATGTCTGTGAAAACCTACTGGGTGACCTTGAGTAAGTCAAACTTGCTCAGCCTGTGACTGAACTTGTGCCTCCTCTTTTAGGCTGGCCCCTCTAAATGCAATTCAAGGCTTTAAGTAATTTTAGATGTGTAAGAAGGTCAGCAAGGCCCACCATGATAAAATATATGAACAAGTCTCACCAGATCCAGAGGCTAATCTTAGAATATGATACTGGACACAGTCTTTCAATTGATAGCCATTTCAGCAGCCTATCTTGAACATAAAATTTTTGCCCTAGAACATCTAAAGCAAAGGGGGCAGCTGTCAAAAGCTTGAGGGCCACATGAGCACCCTGAAACTTAGAAGGATATACCAGCATACACGTGTGTGTGGACGCACAGAAAATATTTCTCCAGACACTTCTAGTAACTATAAAGACATTTTCACAATGTTTTAGATTTCAAAAAAAAAGGTCTCTCCTTGAGCAAAATCGGGGTCCCTTCAAAATGTTGGAAGAAATGTACCCCCAGTGGACTTTCGGAGCATTTGGAGGCTGAATATTTTTGCAAAAAATGTTTTTGATCTGTGGGGGAGGGAAGCAGAGGGCCTCCAAATAAAGTGATAATGTCCTTCACGCCTCCAGAGTGCATTTGGGGATATTGCTGGCACAAAAAGCTATTTTTTATTTCTGGGAAACACTGGGGGACACTTACAGCCTGCAGGCCACATTTTGCCCATTACTCATCTGAAGTGATTCTAAAGTCCATGAATTCCTTATGTCCACATGGCAAAAAAATGTGATAGTTGGATAATAGTCATGTTCTTCATCTCTTGATTTATCTCTTACAGCATTCAAGGAAATGGCTAATAGTCTTTGGAGGTCTACTGACAGCACTGTGCTATTTTTTCTTGGGACCAGCACCCATTTTTCATATAGAAAGGTAGAATCTATTTATTTATACTGTGTGTTTGTTTGTTTAGTTGTTTATTATCACTGACTTTTCTTACACCAAGCCTTTGTTTGTTGAAAGCTTTCACATTTTTGAGGAAATTAATAAGCAATTATGTATGTTCCCTGCCTCAAATATTCAGATTTTCCCATTTAGAGTCATGCATTTTTCTTGTAATCTCACCCAAGAATTAAAGGAATAATGGTGGGAAAAAAAATCACAATTATTCCTTTCTAAGCAAAAACAAAAGTGTTTCCCCAAAACTGAGAAATCCAGTGCGGAAGAATAACACAGTGGAAGAAATTTTGTGCAATTTTTCCGAATATTCACACATGCCAAAGTAATTTCGAAAATCAATCTGTGCAGAACATGTGGGGTTTACTTTTTGTGTTGCGAGTATTGTGGCTCTTTTTTCCAAAAAGTACTTGCAGACTGCCTATATCATCTAATTCCAAATGCATAAGTGTAAACTCACAGCAGCCGCTCCCAGAAAAGACACAGGACGCCAATCCGTAATCAATCAGGAAACTTTTACTACTGGAAATGCATACACAACGAAAGCCAGGATTGGCATGCAGCCGCAGTCAACCCCTTTTATACCCTCCCTCACAATTGAATCTCCCTTTCCCGCCAGCCGAGGATCCCGCGCAATGTTCCCCGCCATTTATCAACTGCTTTCCCCCAAGGCCACCAGCTGCACATCCTTATCAGTTTTCCTAGTCAGGACGTGGGTTTTTTGCGCCAATGTCCGAGGCCAGGAAACCGAGTCCTGACATGACGTCCCCCTCCTCCTCCTCCTCTTCCGCGAAGGGGGATACACGTCACTGTCATGTCCCTTCTTTATCTAGTGGTCCTTGAT